TTTTTTTAAACTATTTATTTGGTTGAAATGTATATATTTATTTTTTTGCATATTTTAATGGTATTAAATTTATAAATTATTGCAGTTACCTATATTTCATAGTATTTAATTGTACGTTTTCAATTCGTATGTTAATAAAATAACACTAAGGATTATGCTAATTATTAGTAGGTTTTTCATTAATAATGCTAAATACTTTCAGTTTTTATTTTTTATTAGAAAACAAACTAGAGCATCAAATKTGAAATAATCCTCTACCACCACAAAATTTTTTAGTTATTAATTAAAGTTTTTTTTAATAGTAGCATAACGATACACTTTTTTAATTCTATAATATAGATAGAATTACCGATTAGATATATAAATGAATAAAATTGTCTTTTTTATTAGCTGGACATTGGACAATATAAAATATTATTATTTGTTCAATTTGTGGTATTATTACGATTGATACATTGATAGAAATAATACGATAAATAAATAGTTACTTTTTATTATTATTAAAAAATACACGTAAGAAAAATGTGTATTTACATTAGTAAATAATATAAATAAGACAAACCTCCAATAACGATAAAATATTATTGAAGATTTTATTTTATTTGTATGGTACAAAAATACAAAATATTATTTATTTTATTATACACTAAATACTTTGATATAGGTCCTATATAGAGCCATAGAGTGATTCGGTTTCAAAAGAAGATAACCAAAACGAGTTTCCTCGTTCATTATCATAATTATTATGCAACAAGTTCGGTGAAAAAAAAAACATAAAAACTACAGCATTGGCAGTTGCCAGTTAGTATAGACGGTGACGATATAGGTTTAGCTATTATAACGTAAAGCGGTTCATCTTCCCTAATCTAAACCGTTCGGTTTAGAATGTTAGTGTCATAAAGATTATATAAACAACTAGATTTACCTGAAATCTATAAGCACTATGTCTCCTTATCATAAAAAAAAGGATTTAATTGACCAACATGAGTTAAGATACGAATAAATAATATTAWAATAAAGACAAATAAAGATAGGTTGTGTTGTCATCATTACACATCAACATATTATTATATAATTAAACTTTTGCTTAATCTACACTGATTTATAACATACAACTGATTCTTAACACTAAACACCGTACATTTTTTATTGAGTAGATCATTTTTGTATCTCGCATTTCTTATCTAAACTAAAAATATTTTCATTTTTTGAGTKTTATATAATTTAGGTAGATGTTTAAAACAWTATACTCTATAATTATTMAAAATATTTCATTTTCTTGGATTAAAATTGAATAGTTAATAAAATGTAGYAAATATATATATCACATATTAGATATCATAATATATAGGCACCACCTTTATAATATCTCCATAGTTTGTTATTGCAATTTAAAAACCAGAARTTAATTTTTATTTTCCAACAGCAARGCTGTATATGTGCAACATAAWGCTGAAAAKAAGTGGATACTGCAGTATATTGACTGRCCACTAACCTGAATARCCTAACCGTTCTCCTTAGAGACCTTATAGCTTAGTATTTATACCTAGATACTATAAATACATAGGTATTACATTATATATATTATATGTTAAATTGTTAAGCTTATTAAGATTATAATAGGATGTGCAATATTGGTTTTCTCTCAGMTACCTAAGTGAAACATAGATTTGAAATGTATGAAATGTATAGTTTATTATGATGGTTTTTAAGTCATCTTAGAATAAAATCTCCTGTATATAACAAAAGTCAAAAATTATAGAGGATAATATTTCTGAGGGTTTGGCAAATCGGTTTTAGGATCTTTTCTTCTCAACCAACTGGACTTTTAGATTTTGTATGGCTCATCGCTTCAACCTCAAGCAAGTAAGTTCAGCTCACTGAGTCAACAAAAATACGAATTTTTTTCAGGTACAGCCTTAAATGAGAGACAAGAATCGTTAACTCATTCACTATGCTARATCGACGCTAGTACTTTTTAAAACAAAAATGTTGTTAATATCACAATTTATTACGAGTTTTTGAAAACTATATAAATAGCTAGGATGACCTCTAACCCAAAGATTATGGATTTTCTACTAAAAAACCTAAGAGTACATTTAAGTACCTTATAAAAATAAATATTTTATTACACTATACTCTAATCAGAGTATATTAGATAAAATTTCAAATTTAAGCTTTCGATACCACGAGAGTGTATAATATAATATTATAATCATTGTWTTTTTTTTACGTACGCGAATATACAACCATTTAAACGACTAATGAATATCTTTAAGCTATGGCGATGGCGTCTATAGAAAAGCATATTATCCATTTGTTTGACTTAAAAAAATGATCTGATCACCAAATTAAATTAAATTGATACATTCACCGAACAAAAAATGTACCCATGGACATCTGATGAAGTAAAGGTTCAAATACACAAATAGGACCAATAAACAAACGATAACTCGATAACTGTAAATG